CTTGTTCCTAGGGACGTATCACGTGCCACATGGGACATAAATGGCTTCTTGCCCCCCAAAAATATCCAAATTATATAACTTACTCTCTTTTTTTTGATCTCATAAAAATTATAACTTACTCAACCAAAGCAGGCGGTGGCCGGTTAATTAGGGAAAAAAAAAACAGTGTGAACCGCGAGGAGAAAGTGACTTTTGGGTTTGGATCCAATTAACGAGGAGCTTAAGCCTGAATTATTAGACGCTAATTACATCATCCAGCAAGGCACACATTTTTTACCGTGACGTTAATGATGAGACTGCAGGCAGAAGCCAGTTCCGAGGTAAATAAACAAACAAAGACCAAACGTGGGATTTGCGACTTGTCATGGGGAGTTGACTAACGCCGTCCCACTGGCCTCAGTTTCCTAAACAAGGGATGTTTAGGGCGGAGCTAACAGCGTTAGTGCCGAGGAGGGCACGTGAGTGTCAGTCTGTCATGGTTTACGTTCAAACACTGTCAACAGTCAAATCAATGCCTCCCTCCCCACTCTTTTTCACAAGGTACTTCTCTTGTCCTTTCAGCTGAAAAACGTTTCAATTTTCTTATTAAAATTGAATTTGTAAGTTTTATTTTTTGTGATTATTTTCCGAACGGTCTTCAATAATGGAGTTGGGGAGATGAGTTTCAAAATGCAGGAGGAGAAAAATTGAATGAGCTAGGGTTCATACAAAATAGTCAGTGTACTATTTTGTCACCCAAAAAGAAACCCTCATGTAAAGGCTTAATTGGTTATTTGCACCATGAACTTGTACTTTGTTTTTGATTAACCCATATCTCTTTTTTTAAAAGAAAACTAAGAATATGAACTTATTTTTTTCGTCAATTTCATCACTGCCATCTAAATCCTCAATATTCCATCTAATTTGCCAGTAAATATGAGAGAAAATTGGTCATTTTCATGTTAAAATAAATTTTGAAATTTTGAAATCTCTATATATAGCAAAAGGCGGAGAATGGTGAAATATTCAAAATACCAAAAAATGTCATTGGTTAATGCAAACATTAAGAATTGAAATTATTAATTAAATTAGGATATTTTGGTAAATTCACACTTTTTCATATTAAAATTCAAAGAAAAATCAGATAATGAATCCTATTTTTATGGATCACAACTACCCATTATCTTTTTTAATTCTAAAATAAATTTAAATTTAAAAAAAGCCTCTCGCAGGCGCGAAAGCGTGTGCAGAAAGGTTCATAATAATTATAATATATATATATTTCTCTCTCTCTCTCCAAGCCCTTCTTCCTCGAATCTTAGCCTCTCATGTCCTCCTCACAAATCACACGACCACTCATTCTATCTCCCTTGACTTCTATCTCTGTCCTCACTACACCTAAAGATCAAACACATCCCATACAACAACCACCATATATTTGAAAAAACAAAAAAAAAAACAAAAACCCAAATGCACATGTTTGAACACACAAAAAATCAGATCTATTTGAACAAAAACCGCACCAGGAGCGAAGGGTTGTGGCGAGGTGGGTAACTATGTGGGTGTCAGGCCTGGGCCTGGGGTTTGGGGGAAGAGAGAGAGAGTGATGGTTATGCGGTGGTGGCTGTGGAAGGGTGGGGAAGTGAAAGGGGAGGCCGCGATAGGTAAATGGGTGGTCGTGGGTCTAGGGGTGTGTTGTGAAAGGGGAGGCAGTGATGGTGGGGATGGGGGATGGGTTGTGAATGGGTCTTGGGGTAAGTTATGGGTGGGGATGGGGGTGATCAGGTTGGGGATAAAAAAAGATAGGGGAAGGGGATAGGTGGTATGTAGGTAGGGATAAGTTTCTTTTTTTGTTTTTGTTTTTTTCTTTAATTTTTCCCAAAAAAATAAATTTATTTTTAATGATTTAACAAAAAAATTGGATGAAATGTTGATGATTTAGACGGCAGGGGAAAAATTGGGGGAAAAAAGAAGTTCATATCCTTCATTTTTTTAAAATAAAAAAGGATATGAGATAAATCGAAAGTTAGGTACAAGTTCTGGAGGTAAATCACTAGTTAAGCCTATGTAAATATGGGAGCAAATAATTGCATGCCAATAATTAAGCGTCACATGTATCCGAAGCTACCGTATGGACCAAATTACCCCCTGGTGGAAGGATGCGAAGTCCAAAAGCACATTCATCTCTCATTAATGAAGGGATGAGTGATGTTATTATCTCAAATTGGCTCAGGACGGTTCCCAAGAACCACGTAGGCTTAAAATAAGCCTTACCTAGGCTTGCAGAACACGCCAAAGTAGGGCCAATCCTTGGGCAACACGCCTACAAAATTGTTCAACATTGATTCCCCAAGATCTTCCTAATTAGTGCTGTAATCTAGGAGATTATGGCCATACATTATGGGCAAATATCTCACACATCCCATGTCAAATGACTAATTGACTGGATGTGTGAACACAAATACACAACCTCTTCTAGCGACAAGTGAGCCACCAATGGGCCATATAAAACCCAACCTCCACCGCGATGAGGAGGTAACGTTCCATCAGCCTAAGAAACCCTATTTCTTCTAATCTTGGAATTGACTTTGGCATTGAAGGCTCTTTGGCTCACACCACATTAGTGTGTTCAAAGACTCGGGATCCTTCATTCTCTCTTAAATTGCAAGGGCAATGATGTCTTCTTCAGAAGCAGATGAAACCATTCCCCACACTAAAAGTATTGAAATTAATTGATCCTTGATTTGTAGGGATTGATACCCTTTTGAAGATGAGCAAATTCTGACTTCGTGTTAAGTTCAATTATTTTTCATATTGAATTGAGATGACCCCTAATCACACACCTTGTTGACGCAGAAAAATGGTTCGGCACTTTCCCGCGCAACTTAGTGATGTTGGGCCTTCGGTATGCTAGGGGTCTCGGTAGGGCGTTCGATCTGCAAGATAACAAACGCTCGGTAAGACTTAGGGCACCGGTGTGGTACCGGCCGAAGGCTCTCCGATACTTAAGTAAGTACGGATTTAGTAAGATTGAACCACAGATCAATAGGCAGTATGCCGTAAGTTCTGATTGATTACCTCCTAGTTGGGATAGTTGTCCTCTTTTATAGGCCTTGGGAGGTGTGCAAGTTGTTTAGAATTTCGATGTGGGACTGTGGACTCTAATTGTGAGACTGCCACGGGCCCCTGGAGGTGGAGTTGCCCTAATCGTGCGATCGGTAAGAATGGAACTGTAGCTAGGTGCCGAAGGCTTCCATAGCTCTAATTTGGTCCACGTGTCCGATGCTTATTGACTGTTCATTTTGGTATAAACACACCTAGTAATGGAGGATCAGCATGGGCTTTAGCTCATAGCAATTTTTATTTTATTTTTTCAATTTCACTTAAGTTAGTTTAGCCCATAGCTCATCCATTAACATACTCTAATTTGTCTCTTTAAATCTGAATTCAATCCATTTTAAAAAATCTTAGTTCTCCCCTCGTACACACCAACAATTTGACCTTGTACTTCATATTGAACATTTTGGAGATCATTTATAATAAAAATTAAGTATGAGACATCGTATTCCCTAGCCAACTATATAATTTTTAGTTGGATCAAAAAAATGTGTTGACCTTTGTATTTTAAGGCCATTCCAAGAATCTATCCATCATATGATAGGTGCTTCAAAGAAAGCTGCTTATATTTTTATTGCTTCAGAACCTTTATTGCATTAATGGTCTACCTAAATTTATCATAAACTAAGTTAGCCCCTAGGTGCTAATTAAAGATTTAATAGATTCCTTTAAATTTTCCAACTGGTAAATCTTTTGGGCAAAGTAGGCACCTAAGTATGCCATGTAATGTCAAATGTGAGTAAGAATTCCACTTTCAAATGCAAATATGGACTTAGCCAAGTTGGTTCGAACGGATATGCTCCATATTCTGCACCTAGTTCGAATTCTCATCTCCGTTGTTTGGATTAGATTAAAGTAAAATATCGCTTGTATTAAAAGAAAAATATGAATGTCAAATTAGGTTGACATACACATACATGTTCAGTTAAACTCAACATTTCCAAAAGTTTTAATTTTTAAACATTTTGAAAATTGAGTTTGATTTCATATTCAACGAAATAGTGCTCCAATACTTTTTTTTCTTGGTCTGAAATAGTGCTCCAAGACTTTAGGCAACTTGGTTATCTCATCTTTGGTCCTAATTAATAGTGAAGGGCAAGTTGAAACCTAGAAGAAACTTGGCACCAAAGAAAAAGAATGACCTAAACAAAATAAATAAATAACATTTAATTCTAGGGGCTGTGGGATGCTTGATCCTCCACTGTAGCCTTCTCTGCTCCATCCCAGCACTGGTTTGGATTTATAGGGATCGACGTAATAATAATAAACAATCACAATCAGTGCCAAAATGACCATTCAACCCTCTTATCAACGAAATGGACCCCACAACTGGGACGGATAGGACCAGAGGGATCAAAGTTTGGGTCAGCTACTCTGATTCTGAGCTTTCATCCCTGCACTGCACACCAACCCAATTTCAGCACTTGCCATAAATCATTTCATGCAAATAACTACTCATTTTTATATTATAAAAAATACATACAAAAAGGGAAATTTGTATTTTGCTTCGTGAAGAAAAGGTAAAGATGGCAAAGAGTGAGGCTAAAGGCTGGGTAAAGAATATCCATTCAATTTTTTATTTTTTGACACAAACCATGTCGGAACGAAGAATTTCAACACCCAACTACTCCTAATTACTTGAGCTACAAACTTCTTATTTGATACACGAATGAGATAGGGTGATTTTTTGCCAAACCAGGGATATAAAAAAAAAGAAAAAAAAAAGTGAGATTTGTGTGCAGCAAGGTCGGTGACCATAACATGGAAATGGGCCCCGTTGACTTGTTACTGTGGGTAAACAACCTCCACTTGCCAGTCACTAATTAAGAAAATGTTAATCCCTATGGGATCCCTCTGAGTCCTTTTTTTGAATTTAAAAATAAATAATAACATTAATTTAAAGTATAAATTATTGTTGTTAATAATGGAAAGGCATCGGTAGTAGTCTGTGTAAATTGTATTACTAATATTGCATATATGATATATCTAGCATCCTATAGGTAGAGACCCAGAGAGAGAGAGAAGCAGAGAGAGAGAGAGAGAGTATTGAATTTGGCAAGAGCAGCGAGGCCTTTTCCATTGCTGTGTTCTCTTTTTGGGGGGTTTCGAAAGAAAGAGAAAACACTGAAACAGAGCAATTGATGCAAATAAGAAGAAGCAGAAGCAGAGGCAGAGTTTAAATAAGGGAAATGGAAACATGGGAAAGTCCAAGATGAGAGGGTGTCTGCTTCTTCCAAATCCTAATCCACTCTTTTTGTCTTTTTAAAGCAACATCTCTTCTTCTCCATTTCATGCTTTGTTCTGCTGCCATTTCATTTTCATCATCTCCTAAATTACCAAATCCAAATCAAACCCCTTTTTCTCCACTGATTCAAAAAGCTTGAGAGACTAAAAAAATGGTGACTGGGTGGCGAAGGGCCTTCTGCACATCAATCCCAAAAGACAGAGACACCAAAGTGATTATAGAAAAGCAGCAGCAGCAGCAGCAACAACAGCAACAACAACATTGCAACAACAGCAGCAATCAACAGAGCCCCAAAATCAGCTCCAAATTTGGGTTCTTCTCTAACCCATCAACGCCTCGGTTGCAATCTCAATCTCAACCAGTCTCCTCAAGCCCCGGCCTCCGCTGTCGAACCACCGCCCCCTCCACCACCATCACCACCACAAACACACCTACTTCCTCACTACCCAACAGCCCAAAACTCCAATGCAACATCTCAGCCACCACAAACCATAAGAAAATCAGCAGCTACAGCCCAAGACTACTTTTCCAGTTCCAACGCTCAAACCCATCATCACCAAAATCACCGTCCAGCTTCTCCCTCCTCAAGTCCACCTTACGCCTCTCCAAAGTAAGCATCTTTTTCCAGTTTTTATTTTCTTTTGATAATTGATAAATTGATAATACACAACACAACACAACACAATACCATCATCTCACTTTTTGTAAATAAAAGAAAAAAAAAAACTTGACTTTTAGTTTTAGTACCATACCTTTTTAGTGACGATTTTTTTTCTTCCTTTTTGCAGAGTAGATGTGGAATCTGCTTACAGAGTGTGAAAAGTGGTCAAGGCACAGCCATTTTCACAGCTGAGTGCTCGCATTCCTTTCATTTTGGCTGCATAGCCACTCATGTCAAGAAGAACCAGCTCCTCCTGTGTCCTGTCTGCAACACCACCTGGAAGGAGCTGCCTCTAATCTCTGTCCATAATAATACCAATAATAAGCAACAAACCCAACACCAGGTGCCAATATCATCACCCAAGAAGCCCAGAGATGTCAAGACCAAGCCTTTGAGGGTTTACAACGACGACGAGCCCCTCTCGTCCCCAACTTCCGGTTCTCGCTTCAACCCAATCCCTGAAGAAAACGACGACGAAAACGACGCCGTCGAGTTCCAAGGCTTCTTCGTCAACGCGAGTTCCAAACCTCCCTCCACTCGGAGTTCAACTGACCGGAATGTGAAGAACGTGGAGGTCAGTCTGTTGCCAGAATCGGCAGTTGTGGCCGTCGGGAGGAGCTACGAGACGTACGCGGTGGTTCTCAAAATCAAAGCTCCGCAACCTATTGGATCCGAAACGGCGTCGTTGCAGCGCCGAGCTCCCATCGACTTGGTGACGGTGGTGGACGTGAGCGCGAGCGCGAGCAACGCGAAGATTCAGATGATGAAACGCGCTATGCGACTCATCGTTTCGTCGCTCCGTGATACCGACCGTCTCTCCATCGTCGCCTTCTCTTCAACCTCGAAGCGGCTGTTGCCGCTCCGGCGAATGACCTCCGCCGGCCGACGGGCTGCGCGTCGGATCGTAGACGCGCTCTGTGGCGTCGGCAATGGAATGTGTGTGAACGACGCCCTTAAGAAAGCCGCGAAGGTGCTCCAGGATCGCCGCGAGCGAAATGCCGTCGCGAGCATCATGCTCCTATCGGAGGGCTCTCAGGACTCCAATCAGAAGCGCTCGTCTTCCCCCGTCGTGTCTTCTACGCGCTTCCCTCACCTCGACATCCCCGTCCACACTGTCGGCCTCGGCGACGGCGGTGATGACCCGCTGGCGAAATGCTTAGGGGGCTTGCTGAGCGTCGTCGTTCAGGATCTCAGTCTCCAACTCGGCGTCGTTTCGGGTTCCGCTCCGGCGGAGATCGCCGCCGTTTATTCTCTCACGGGTCGCCCGGCGGCACTCGGATCCGGGTCGATCCGACTTGGAGACCTGTACGCCGGAGAGGAGAGAGAGTTGTTAGTCGAATTGAAGGCGTTGGCATCAACCAGCACCGCCACTGGTGGGCCCCACTCTCCCCACAACGTGATGTCCGTACGGTGCACACACAGAGACCCGTCGTCCAATGAGCTTGTGTGTTCCAAAGAGTGGGTCCTCCTCGTACCTCGATCTCAGACCGTTCGATCAGCATCATCCAATCCTAACATCGAACGATTGAGGAACCTCCACGTGGCTGCCAGAGCCGTGGCGGAGTCTCGGAGATTTGTAGAGCGGAGCAGCGACCTCTCGGGGGCGTATCACCTCCTGTCGTCGGCGCGGTCCTTGCTCCTCCAGACGAGCTCGGCTTCGGCTGAGGAGTTCCTGCGCGGTTTGGAAGGCGAGATGGCTGAGCTTCAGCGGCGCAGGCAGGTTCAGCTTCAAGCTGAGGTTGAGGCAAAGCAGAGCAAGAGAGGAGGAGCCAATAATGGACACTTGGAGGAGAAGCAAGAGCCGCTTACTCCAACATCGGCTTGGCGAGCCGCCGGAAGAATGGCCAAGGTGGCTA